ACAGTGTAAACATCTCAATTACCAGAATGCTCATGTAGCTGGAATTCATTTTTCCTTTCCATTTTTATGATAGAAGCAAATCACAAGAGACTGACATGTAATAGTCAACATTTACACCCACATACGGTATTTTTGATGGATCAGTGCAGTCCAGGAAAGAGAGCACTACTGGTACTCTTATAGAGCTCTGTCCTTATTACCACTGTTCTGTTCAAAATACTGATGAATAGTTGGATCAGTGTCTTGTAACCTTTTTCTGAGGTCATGGATCACCTTGAGAATCTGCTGAAAACTCTAAACCCATCTCCATTGAAAAATGCTTATACATACAATGTGTCACATATAGTTTTGGGTGAATTGCAGACTCCCTGAATCCAAGATGAAGAACTAGTTACTTAGATCAAAACACAGAAAGTACACTTAATAAATTTGTGGATGACTTGCTCCTAGGAAGAATGGCCACTAGGCTATAAGACAGAATCACGATTCAGAATTGACAGCTCAAAAGTGAAGTTGAAATCAACAAAATGAATTTGACAGCAAGGATATAGGTGAATGGCTAGCTGAAGAGGTACATAGGGTGAGGAATAAATGGAAAAATATGGATTTAAAAATATGGAGTATATGTTGCCCAGACAGAAACTCTACATAGGTAAGGTTAGGAATCACATGAGGTTAATCTGAATTTGTACCTTTGGATCTTTCCTTTCAGTGCCATTTCTGGCCTTGTGGCACCTTATTTTCCAAACACCTAGGATTCTCTGTTCCTGCTAGCTCAGTGACCCACTCAGTTCTTCCTCCCTCGGGCAGGACTCATTGCTCAGCTTTTCTGTAACCCGTTTTTGTCCAGTAAACATGATCTTTCCTCATTCAGTGATCTTATTAGGTTGATAAATGAGTTAGTCTTCTTGGGAGTATTTACCTTTTAAAGGGGACTTCAGCACAGATAATCCTTAATCCAAAGAGTCTAAACAATCCAGAGGAGATATATTTCTGAAAAAAACTTCTGAGCCCCTCTCAAACCAAACCAGGTGATTTACCACCCATTCAACCTACTCTGGGCAGCTCAGGTTTGATCAACTTTAATCAGAGCTAGAAGAGAGCTCTGAAATAAATAGTATTCAGACTTTTTCAACCCCAGCACACCTGAGTTATAAGATACACAGTGGGCCACTCCTAACAATGATGAGGCTGGAGGTGGGAGATGATATACAATTAAATTCCTGGTGACAGAGACAGGAAGTGGCTGAGGCAGGTGAATCACGAGGTCAGGAGATCGAGACCATCCTGGCCAACATGCTGAAATTCCATCTCTACTAAAATACAAAAAATTAGCTGGGTGTGGTGGTGCGCACCTGTAGTCCCAACTACTCGGGAGGCTGAGGCAGGGGAATAGCTTGAACCCGGAAGGCGGAGGTTGCAGTGAGCTGAGATCATGCCACTGCACTCCAGCCTGGAGTCAGAGTAAGACTGTCTCAGAAAAAAAAAGGGGGGGGGGGAAGCTGGTTCATTCTTAAATATTGCCACCCAGCCCCTAGATGAGAATCCCTGAGTGCAGAGAAGTAAAATAATCTGCCTGAAATTACACAAAGTCAAAACTAGATCCACATCATCTAGATTTCAGTGCAATGCTTTTTCAACTGCGCCAAACTACAAATTTCAATGAAACAAACCCAAGCTTTAGTAATAAAAGGTTGTTTTACAATGCCTACATGCTGGAAAACACATCAGTGGGCCTCATAAAATGTTTAAACAAATGGATAAAGACTCAATACACCCAATTGTCTTTGAAACTTTGGTTTAAAAACAAATAATTTAGAGATGATAATGAGGGCTCCAGGAAACCATAAAAAGATGTGCCAATAAAGGAAAACTGTTCCACTACTCAAAATACTTCAGACAGGAAATGTCTGGGGTTTCCACACCAAGTAATTCTCCAATTCTCCACAGACATCAACTGGGTGTCCTACAATTTAATTCCACTCTGGCACTACCCAGGTTTGACAAGACTGCCCCAAACTTCAGACACCAGTCACAAGTATTGGGTGCCCAGGGTACCCACACTTCTGTTCGACTTGGGTACAAATTGGGGGTTCCCACAACCCCCTACGCAAGTTTGATAATTTGCTGTAATGGTTCATAGAACTCAAGGAAACACTCTCATTTACCAGTTTATTATAAAGGATATTATAAAGGATATAGATGAATAGCCAGCTGAAGATGTACATAGGGTGAGGTCCATAAGGATCCCAAGATCAGAGCTTCTGTTCCCTTGGAGTTGGAGTGCACTATTCTTCTGGTCTGTGGATGTGTCACCAACCTAGATGCTCACCAAATCCTGTAGTTTAGGACTTTTTGTGGAAGCTTCATCACATAGGCATAATCGACTATTAACTCAATCTCCAGGCCCTCTTCCCTCCCTGGAGGATGGGGAATGGGGCTGAAAGTTCTAATCCTCTAATCATGGCTTGGTCACTAGTAGCCCCCACTCTAAAGCTATCCAGGAGCCCACCAAGAGTTGCATCATTAAAACAAAAGGCACTCCTATAACCTAGGAAATCCCAAGGGGTTTAGAAGTTCTATGTAAGACACTCCTATCACTTAGGAAATGTCAAGGGTTTTAGGAGCTCTGTTTCAGGTATGGGGGAGCTGAGACCAAACATGTATTTCTTATTATGTCACAGCCAAATTAAAGAAAAGCACCAGGGTAGGTGTTACAACTAACCAGTTATTTTCAAAATGCGAGAGTACCTTCTATTTGTTCCACTGTTTTTGAATAGAGGCAGAAAAGAAAAGGAAATAGAATTCAGTAAAGTTGGATTTTGGTACTGGCTGTTTCTCTAGCTCTAGATGTTTTCTCACTTGTAAAATGAAGACAATTTCTGCCCTCTTAAAGACTGCAGTGAGAATGGATGTAAAAACTTATAAATTAAAAAACTGTGGTAGAGCTATACTTGTAGAAATTAGGTCTCCCGACAACTGATTCAGTATTCTTTTTTTCTCTCAACCAGGGATTTTTAACCTTTGGGGAGAATCACAGATCCCCATGAGAATTTGATGAAAGCTATAAATTCTCTTCCCAGAGAAATTCACATTGCAAATTTCTGCTTTCAATTTTAGGCAGTCACTAGAACTGTGAAGCTGGAGCCATAAACCACAAAGTAAAGAATCTTTATACTCTATCAGACTTGCTAACAGATTGATTTGGAGGCCTTGTAGTGTAACAGAATATGGGAACAGAAAGCAGCAGACACAGCCATGTAAGGAATTCATTGTAGTTGGTATAGCTGAGAAATTGGGGAATCGAACACTAGCATCATACAATTACATATTAAGTCAAAGATTACAAAGAAAAACACAGATTTACTTTGAAGTATACAAAACCTCACTGAAATTGTAGATTCTCTATAACAGATATTTAAGAATGTAAATGTTTTCACTATTTTCATTGGCCTTTTTCTTCCATCTTACAGCCTCAGTTAAGCTTTACAATTATTATTACATATATATATATATATATATATATATATATCACCTGTAATCTTTTTTTTTTTTTTTTGAGACAGAGTCTCACTCTGCCACCCAGGCTGGATTGCAATGGCATGATCTTGGCTCACTGCAACATCTGCCTCCTGGGTTCAAGCAGTTCTCTGCCTCAGCCACCCTAGTAGCCGGGATTACAGGTGCCCACCATCACACCCAGCTAATTTTTTTTTGTACTTTTAGTATAGGTGGGGTTTCACCATCTTGGCCAAGCTGTTCTTGAACTCCTGACCTCGTGATCCACCTGTCTCGGCCTCCCAAAGTGCTGGGATTACCTGTGTGAGCCACTGTGCCTGGTCTTATTTATTTTTGAGATGAAGTCTTGTTCTGTCACACAGGTTGGAGTGTAGTGGCACCAACTCAGCTCACTGCGACCTCTGTCTCCTGGGTTCAAGAAATTCTCGTGCCTCAACCTCCAGAGTAGCTGGGATTACAGGAACCCGTCACTACGCCTGGCTAATTTTTTTTAGTAGAGCTGGGTTTTGCCATGTTGACCAGGCTGGTCTTGAACTCCTAACCTCAGGTGATTCATTCACCTCGGCCTCCCAAAGTGCTGGGATAACGGGCATGAGAAAGTGCACCCAGCCAAATTATCTTTTTTTTTGTTTTGGAACTGTAAAATTTGCTGACCTTGAATCAGCTTCATCTCTATTACCTTTCCTACAGGCACAGGTAACAATCTTTAGTTTATACAAATCTGTGATCTAATATTAACATGCCACGTCATTTAAAATGCCAAAAGCCTAAGAAATTAACTGTGGCTTAGTTCCATTTGTACTGCTTATTGAAGAACTCGGATGAATTTCCTTTTACACCCATAAAGCCTGTCACCTTAGACAATAAACTCAATATTTATGAAGCGTAAATGCCTTCAGTTATAACAGACAAAACTTTACTCTGATCACACCAAAAATAATAGAAATATATTTCCCCTGCTCTTAATTCTATCACCAGCATTCAATAAAGAGAATTTTGTTCCATAAGATGCTTCTGATTAATGTTTGTTAAGGTTAGCACTCAAAATACTTCTGTAAAAAGAGTTTCTATATCAACAACACAGTTCATGTTTATGAAACTCATTTTAGCTAATGATAATTAAGTCTTTGACCCAAAATTAATGCAAATTTGTAGGTGCACTTGGATCACTTATTTTAAGCAGTATTTGCAGCATAAAATTCAAATAAAAAAATAATCCGAAAGTCACTTGGAGTTCATTAGATTTTATGACTAGTATCATTTAAGATGCTTCCCTAAATTGAGCTCAAGTTTATACTTACTAATTTCCTTTTGTTCTACATTTAATTAGCAATTCAGAAGATGGCTATTTTAAAAGATTTTAGCTACAGTCAAGCTTCACTAATTTTATTGACTTAAAGCTACCAAAAACTGAGAAATGTCTTTACTAAGGATTTCAAGGCTTAAGTGAATTCTAACAATTTGAAAGAAAAATTAGAAGATTGTTTCAACATTTTATTTTTTAGTTTCTGAAATACAAATCAAAATACATTTTTGTTACATGTCATTTTAACAAGTTTGACATTCTTTTCAATACAGGATGATGCAATATACGTACTTTAAAACTTCCTTTTAAGAAAACCATACATTTTATTTCAGAGTAAACAGCCCATAAAAAAAAAAATACATGGGTATATGGGCTATTGTTTTTCATTATTTTAGAGCACACCCTCCAACTTAAAATTTGGTCCACTAAAATATGTGAATATCCCTCCTATCACAAAAATAAATTAAACCTCATGGTTGAAAAAAACAGAAATGTTTGGCATAGACCTGAGTGAGCTTGACAAAAACAAGTTAGGATGTTTTAACTGTATGGAGGGACATTATAGAATCCACATAGAGACATCTGGCAGAACAAAGAGTTTGTTGCTATTGGAGCTGTTCTGTTTCAGAGAGAGAGATGTAAGGTACATGGGAGGGTGCTGAAGACTCACAACAGCCACAAAATTAGTTACTCAAAATTAACTAGAATTCAATATAGAAGAATATATGACAACAGTAGAACAATCTCAACAGTTATTCAATGCCTGGAAAACAAGCTGTAAGCTTTGAACAAGTAACTCAGCAAGAACAACAGTCAATATGTTTGTAAGACTTTGAAGGTGAGAAAACTTCATCATTCATAGATAATGTCTTGTGTACAAGTACATTAGTTTCCAGGACACCGGGGACAACAACACAACATACAAAGTAAGAATAAATCCAAGCTGTTTAACCTTCTACCATTCTCTTGAGTATTAAACCCAGGCCACCTTTGGCCACTTGCAGGGGTGTCTTTTCTTCTTTATTCTCAATGTAAATACTTGCTCCTTGGGACACCAGCAGTTTTGCTTCTTCCACTCTCTCCTCATCACAGGCTAAGTGTCTGAAATCAGGGACCACCACAGACCAATTAATCAGTACCAACTCTATGCAATGGTTAGGATTTCCTGCTAGATAGTCTAAAGTGCATGTTATTAGGAAATGGTAATATTGGAGTGTTATTTAATCAAAAAAGAAACATCAGTTTGCATGGTGAGGCTGTAAGTTAAAATTCTGCAAAAAGGCCATGTAATACCAGATAGTAAATCATAATTCTGATTCTACTTACAATAGAAGAAGGGATCTAAATGCCAGCCTAAGGAACAACTTTCTCATTTTACAGAGATTAGTAGTAGTTTACCTCAAATACTACATGTAATAATTCAGGGTTAAAATTTAGAAAAGCCCCAGTTCATAATCTATTAATAGCAGTTTGTGCAGCTTAAAGTTTGAAAAAGCAGTTTAAAATATTTTATCTCATTTAATCCATATATTTATAAGTTAGCAAAGTATTATTATCACAATTTTACAGTTGAAATGGTGACAGAGGTTAAAGTTCCTGCCTATGCTGACATTTGGCAGTAAACTGAGTGGAAGAGGATAACAACTTTTGCTACACACTTTAGAGTTTGCCAGGAGGGTATTAGGAGGCACTTTACATGTTGTTTTACTTAAACCTCACAATAATCTAGTGAGGAAGGAATTATTATCCTTATATGACAGATGAGGAAATTAAGATTCAAGGAAGATTAACTTTTATAAGTTGTTTAGTATAAGTATTTAATATTGTTAGTAAGTGGTAGAGTCTGAATTGAGTGAATGTCATCTAGCTATTCATAAATCCTATGTTCTTCCCAGGACTCTATCTTGTCTGACTCCTAGATTTCTTCTAGGCCATCCTGCCTTTGTATTTATAGAGAAAACAGGTAGGACACACAGGTCTTTCTAAACAAGATCTCTTAGAATGCAGGAAAGGTTTTAAAAACTAAGAGTTAAGAAAGTATTTACAAAGTATTATTACTTTGTAAAAGTTGGTTTCAAGTCAAATTGGAAAAGGGTGAACCTCACTCTGGACTAAAAAGAAGACTCACAGAACTTCTGGTTCACCAAAAAGTCACCATTCAACAAAGAAGAAAAGTGGCCAAGTATTGTGGAAAAATATCAATTCCAGATAGATTTTAAGAGTTAAATGCAAAACAATAACTCTAACCCTCAATCAAAACCAATGAAATGTTAAAATAACCTATAATAAAAGGTGAATATTTAACTAATTTCAGGGTAAGGAGAAGCTTTCTAGTCATGAGGAAAGATGAATAGGCTTGACTATGTAGAAATTTTAAAACTTCTCTTATTTAAAAGAAATTATGAACAAGTTGAAAAGATAAACTAGGAAAAATATTTTCAACTAACATTGCAAAAAGGTAATATTTTACCATGTCAAATCAAGAGCACTTAAAATCCAGTGAAAATAAACTAATTCCCCGAAAGGAAACAGAGAAAGGGACACACAAATTTACAATTAGATAAGAAATGTAATTAGCCATGGACATTAAAAAAAAAATGTTCAAATTCACTGATCACAAAAATGTAAATTACATCTATGAAATATCATTTTCATATAACAAAAGGACAATTTAGTGTTGGTGAGGGGTAATAGGCACTCTTAAATTGCTGTTGGGAGTAAAATGATACAACTCCTCTGGAAGCAATTTGGCAACATACAGTAAGTCTTAAAATGTGTGCATTTGTTGACCCAGCAATTCAACTTCTAGGAGTCTATATGAACATAATAATCAGAAATATGGCCAAAAATTTTTTTTATACAAAGTTGGTCAGTGTAGCATTATTATTATTTTAGAGACAAGGTCTTGCTCTGTTCCCCAGGCTGGAGTGTAGTGGTGTGATCACAGCTCACTGTTAACCTGGTGCTCCTGGGCTCAAGCAATCCTCCACCTCAACTTCCTGAATAGTTAGTACTACAAGTGCATGCCACCATGCCTGGCTAATTTTTAAATTTTTTCTAGAGATGGGGGTGGGGTTTTGCTGTTGCCCAGGCTGGTCTTGAACTCCTGGCCTCAAGTAACCCTTCTGCCTTGGCTTCCCAAAGTATTGGGAGTACAGACATGAGCCATCCATGCCCAGCTCAATGTACAATTATTTATAATAGTGAAAAACTCAAAAAAAGTTTAAATATACAATAATAGAGAAATGATTGAATTATGGCACATCTATACAGAATTTTATATAATCATTAAAAAGGTTTTAAACATATTTAACGATATTAGAAAATGCTTATAATATACTATGAGGTGAAAAGAACAAGATCTAAAACTACATATACAGTATGACCTCTACTTTGCTAAAAAAAAAAAAAAAAAAAAAAAGGTGTAAAATATATACATTTGCATATAAAAGACCAAGAGGAAATACACGAGAATGTGATTAGTGGTTATTTCTGAGTGGCAAGATAATAGGCAATTTTTATCTTTATATTTTGTGCATTTTAACATTTCTGCCATTAACACGTATTGCATTTATAAGCAGAATAAAAAAAGAAATGATGTGTAAAAATTATTGCAAGAGGGCTAATGCCAGGTAGAATACAAATGACTGCTACTTGTCACTTACAGAGGAGTGTTACCCTCAGTGTCTTGGATATTTGTGGATGCTTTGTAGTACAGAAGGATATGAATCATCTTCAAGTTACCCTTGGCTGCTGCCCGGTGCATTGCTGTAGCCTCATAATGGTCCTTAGCATCTGGATTAGCCCCACCTTCTAGTAACATGACAGCAATCTGGAAAGTTGGAGAAGAAAGGAGAAAACAATGAAGAGATCTATCTGTGTTTGTATATACTTTTAGAATTCAACAGAAGTAGCCTAGGGATGGAACCATACCTCATGCCTGTTTTTGGAAGCTGCATAATGTAGGGGAGTACAGCCATTTTGATTGACAGCATTCACTTGAGCACCTTTTCCCAGAAGGGCTTTTACAATCTCATCCCGGCCAGCAGAAGCCGCAATATGAAGAGGAGACCAACCTGCCTATAAAAGAAATAGGCAGTAGAAACACCAGGGGAAAAAGGTACAAGGATTAGTGCTAACACTTAGGCAGGGTTTACAAGGAGCTTTATAAAGGCAAAAAAAAAAATGCCTACAAAAAAGGTTCCATTCTTATTCTTCAAAAATCTAATCCTAATATAATCAATACCATTACAATAAATTTCTTTATATAACAGAAAGTTACCTAGGTCCTCATTATTCAGGCCATGTTCATACACAAAAAAAAATTCCAACATAATAGAAAGAGTTTATGGTCTTTTAGGATTCACCATAATGAGCCCTGATCTGTATGAGCACAATAGCTCACTACAGCCTCAAACTATTGGGCTTGAGCAATCCTCTTACCTCAGCCTCTCCTGTGTGTTTACCTTACATCACAGAGTATGAATGGCAAACATATCTTTGTAAAATAATGCAACCGTGGGTCTCATGCTTGATCACAAGGGCCATACTGTAACTTTCCAGTCATAAAGGTTATAATTTTGTTCATAAGCTTAATGCACAGGCTTCAGTTAACACCAGTCTGGAGTATAAAGATAACTGGGAATTTATCGACTCAACTTTGTCAAAGTACTCACATCGTCTTTATCATTCACTGGCACTCCAAGTTGCAACAAAAATTCAACAATTTCTGTATGTCCAGCTGAGCAAGCCCAGTGCAATGCAGTTCTGCTGTCCTACATGGGAAACAGAGAAGCAATAAAATAAACATTCTTGAAGAAAAATAGAAGGCAAAAAAGCAAGAAAAAATAATACTGGTGCTGGCAAATCTATAGTTTGAAAATACGAAATGCAGAGCACTGGATCCTCAGGTGGGTAACCTTAAACCATATTGCTTACTAGTATAAGACAGATGAAGGTTTAAGTAACATGGGGAGAATGACGGTGATAAATGTACATTATTCTGGCCAGAATACGACAAGGAAAGCAGTAGAGCAAGAAACTGATTTCAATGCTTTGACAGAAATACATCTTTGGTTGTTTTACTATTACAGTATTTATATACTTTTATGTCAGGCACTGTGCTGGGAGTTTTACATGTATCATATCATTTAATTCCTACCATTCTGTACAGTGCTTATTATCTCCATTTTTCAGATGAGGAAACTAAAACTCCTCAGGGTAAGCAACTTGTGGACGGTCATATGGATACTAAATAGTGAGGTTGGGACACAACTGTCAGTGAATTTCTGATTCTGAAATCTCTACTACCACACTGACCTCAAGTTAGATGCTGTAGAAAGAACACATGAATCTAATGGGGGAAGAAATGTTCATTAAACTAGTTGAAATTATCTATAATTTAAAATTATAAATAAATTAGAAATATAATTTAGAAAACAACAGAGCAAGAAAATTACTTTTTATAAAAAATAATAAGCTATGGCTGGCTGTGGTGGTTCACATCTGTAATCCCAGCACTTTGGGAGGCCGAGGTGGGCAGATCACCTGAGGTCAGGAGTTCGGGACCAGTCTGGCCAACATGGTGAAACCCTGTCTCTACTAAAAATACAAAAATTAGCCAGGTGTGGTGGGCACCTGTAATCCCAGCTACTTGGGAGGCTGTGGCAGGAGAATCACTTGAACCCAGGAGACAGAGGTTGCAGTGAGCTGAGACTTTGCCACCGCACTCCAGCCTGGGTAACAAGAGTGAAACTCTGTCTTGGGGGAAAAAAAAAAAAAAAAAGCTAGTAGCCATATTTGTCAAAGGGAATCACTATTTGCAGTGACTGCTATACTTCTTAGCCCCATAGAATAGAAAATGGTATTTTAAATTGTATTGCAAAAAATTTCAAACACATAAAAATTGAGGTAATACAATAGAGACCCACATGCCTACCACTTAGATTTAACAAACATCTTGCCCTATTTGCTTTATCTAGATTTTTTCCTTGCTGAGTTTTCTAGAAACAAATCCTAAATATCATGAGATTTCACCTTTTTCAGTATGTAAAAAATAAAAGTATTTCTTATATAACTATGAGATCATTATTACACTTATTAAAATTAACACTAACTTCCTTATAATGTCTAATAACCGATCCATATTCAGATTTCCCCAACTGCCTCCCAAATGTATTTTTGCAGTTGGTTTGTTTCAATCAGGAACCAAACAAGATCCATAAATTGCATTTGTTCATGTTTTTGACGTCTTTTGATCCTGAATAGCTCCCTTCCCTTTTTAGGCCACTGACTTGACTGAAGAATGGTTAAATTTCCAATGGAGTATTATTAAATCCTAACAATATAAATTATTACATTTAAATTTAAATCCTTAAATATCTAGTGATTTAAATTTAAAAAGAGGTAAACTAGGTAAAGGTAAGGCCATTTTCAGGTTGAGTAATAAAGTTCCAGAAAAAACAGTCTCTTGATTTCTAATTCGCCCCCAAAAGACACAAAATGGAGATTTGTAAGTATGAGACACTGTCTCACTAGGGCCTAGCACACTGCCTGTGAAACACAAGGCCATCTATAAATATTTGTGGGCTTACTGAGGGCAGTGTGAATCCCAGAAACTCAGGATGAAAACACAGGACGGTCCTGCGAGCAGAAGGGCAGAAACACGTCTCAACATCCATTCACTTTTGTCTGCCTCTGTTTAAAATGTCTACTCATTCCCCCATGGAAATCCCACTCATGCTTCAAAGTCTATCTCTTCCTTGCAAAGCCTTTTCCAATTAATCACAGTCATATCGGCATCAGATCCTCCTATTTGGCATCAGATCCACTATTACATGGTTCCTCCTAAAGCACCATGTAAACTTTTCTGTCGAGTATTTACCACAATTTGTAATCGGACATGTTTTTGTGCTTATTTTATTGTCTGCTTCTTCCACTCCACCGTTTCTCCAGCTCCTAGCAAACTGCCTGACACAGAAGGAGCGTTCAATTACACGTTTTACAGAATACAGTTACTAGCAAGGGTAAAGAAATCTATATAAAAAGCTTTCCTTTTCACGGATTGGGAGTTTCTGAGAAATGCGGTAGACGTTCTAAAACTATCCAAAAATTAAGGAGCGGTGCTCCAGGCCAAAAAGAAAAATATCTGAGGTCTGAGGGGCTAGCTCCCGCACGCCAATCGCGAGTCCTGAGGTGACCCCGGGGGACTCCTTGGGGCGCTGGGGGCGGGGTTCTGCTCCACGCAGAAACAGGGCCTCCGCTAGGGCAGGGCCCCGACAGCCACGTAGGGCTTCCCCGACGCCGCCGGCTGCGGAGAGACCCTAGCGTTGCTTTACCTGGTCAGTTCTAGTAGCCAGGGATTTATCAGCCTGAATACTCTCCTTCAACTCTTCCAGCTTCCCGCTGTAGGCCAGGTTGCAGACCATTAGGTTAGACACACACCCCTCCATTTCGCTTTCCCAGTTAACTCCTTGAAGCGCGACCAACGCCCGCCTTACGTCGCCGGTTCCGACTGCCAGTCAAAACAGCCGTTAGAGCTCCACCAATCACTGGCTTCTCTCGCGCCCTTTTCCTTTCCCATCGCGCGGCCCTCTGGGAGTTGCAGTTTGAGGGCAGTTCCGGTCGGGGCGACGCCTTTGCTGCCCTCACAGACTTGGCCCCTAGCAGTGCGGGACTACATGTCCCAGGGTTCCTTGCGAGCGTCCGTAGTCAAGTTGCCGGTGGAATTGGCCCAGGATGACAGCTGGAGAATGGAGTCAGGTACGGGGAGCGGCTTTGAGTGGAACCGTGTGAAAGAGCCGGGGTGGGTAGTCGCTGTTGGGTCGTTGAGTCGGCCACACGAAACGGGTGCGGGGGCAGGGCAAGAGAGTTATGGAAGCCTAAAAGTCCTGTCCCCCAGGGTCCCTGACCTGCAGTGGCAGGCGGAAGGGACAAGGACTGGAGCTGAGTACTACCTTCTGAGCTCGAACCGGTGACTTTGGCTACCCTTCCCCTCCCTGCCACCGCCCAGGGAGTGGAAAGAAGTGGGGGTTAATTACTCTGACATCTCGGCGGGGTGGCGTCAGGACAGGGTTCTACCACAGCAGTGATAGCATATGGCACCGTACTGAGGTGATGTGCCAGGGTGATGCCAAAGGCAGGGTCCGATGCCATGGGAGCCACTTGATATCTAAGAGACCTCGGTGAGTCCATAGCCTAGTGACATCACAACTTGATGAGGGTCATCTTAAGGATACTGGGCTGAGGTATTGGCACTTTAATATTACGATATTAACTATGTTATCAAGGCTTTGCTACAACTGTTAAGCTAATAGTGTTTCTTTTAATAGAAATCCCAAATAGTGCCATAGCAGAAGCAATGCAAGACTTATCCTTTATAGGGCATATCCAGAGGACATTATGCCACAACTAGGTAATGATAAGAATACTTTCAAGAAAGAGACTGATTATGTTAATGTTTATCCTGTTATAGTGTAGAACAGGAGCCGGGAAACTTTCTATAAAGAGCCAGATAGTAAATATTTTAGGCTTTGTAGGCCAAAAAGCAAAATCAAGAATATTTTGTTGGTACTTTTATGACAAGAGAGAAAACAAATTTCAACAAATGTTTATTGATGAAATTCAAAATATAATAATAGTAATTGAGTGCTTTTTTTGTAATACAAGACTACTAATAAGAAGAAAAGAATTATTTTTAGGGGATAGTATTTTGCTTAATTGGGGATCAGAGTTAGTGTTCCCTATTGTCAAAATAGATTTTAAATGTTCATCTGTTAATGCTGATCTATTATGAGATTTTTACCTATTTAATCTTTGAAAATGTCATTTTACACAGATGGGTACTGCCAAATACTGATATCAATTCATAAACATACATTTTTTATTTAAATGAATTTTTCAAAAATTTTAGAATAGTTTTAGATTTATAGAAAAATTGTAAGGTTAGTAGAGTTCCCTCACTCAGGATAAGGTACATTTTATATATTACAAAATTCATTCATTTCAAGTGCATAATTAAATGATTTTTGGTAACATTACTGAATTGGGGCAACCGTCACCATAAATCAGTTTTAGGACTTTTTTATCCCCCCAGTAAGATCTCTCATGCCCATTTATAGTTAATCAATCCTCTGTCCCACTCCCAGCCCCAGACACCCAGTAATCTACTTTTTTGTCTATAAATTTGCCTGTTCTCGACATTTTATGTAAATGAAATCATATAATATGTGGTATTTTGCATTTGATTTCTTTCACTTAGCATAATATTTTTGAGGTTCATCCATATTGTAGCATGTATCAGTACTTCCTTACTTTTTTATTGCCGAATACTATTCCATTTTATGGATATAACATATTTTTGTCTATCTACTTGCCATTTGATAGGCACACAACTTTCCAGTTTTTGGCTACTATGACTAGTACTGCTAAGAAGATTAGTATGTAAATCTTTGCATGGATATATTTTTTCATTTCTCTTTGATAGATACTTAAGGGTAGAGTTACTGGATCACAGGGAAAATTTATGTTGAACTTCTTAAGAAACTGTAAAACTGTTTTCCAAAATGACAACAACATTTTGCACTTCCACTAGCAATGTATGAGAGTTCCTGTTTCTCCACATCCTTGCCAACATTTGTTATTTACTATGTTTTTTATTATAGCCATCCTAAGTGGGTGTAAAATGATGTCTCATTGTGGTTATAATTTATAATATGGTGAGCTTATTTCCATGTGCTTATTAGCCATTTGTATATCTTCTTCAGTGAAGTCTGTTATATCTTTTTACCATTTTTAAATTGGGTTGTCTTTTTATTGTTGAGTTGTAAGGACTGTTTATGTATTCTAGATCAAGTCCCTGACAGATATATGATATGCACAAATGTTCTCTCAGTTTGCTGCTTGCCTTTTTCTTTTCTTGATGTGTCTTTTGAAGTGAAAACGTTTTGAATTTCGGTGAGGTGCAATTTATTATTTTTCTTTCTTTCATGGACCATTCTTTTGGTGTTGTACTTAAGAAGTCTTTGCCTAATTGCAAGGTCTCAGTGATTTTCTCCAATGTTTTCTTCTAAAAGCTTTATTACTTCATCTCTTACATTTATATATATATATATACACATATATGTGTGTATATATATATATATATATATATATAATTTTATTTTTGAGCCAGAGTCTTGCTCTTTCACCCACACTGGAGTGCAGTGGCGCGATCTCGGCTCACTGCAACCTCTGCCTCCCTGGTTCAAATGATTCTCCTGCTGCAGCCTCCTGAGTAGATGTGATTACAGGCACCAGCCACCATGCCCAGCTAATCTTTGTATTTTCAGTAGAGATGGGGTTTTGCCTTGTTGGCCAGGCTGGTCTTTAACTCCTGACCTCAGGTCATCCACCAGCTTCGGCCTCTCAAAGTGCTGGGATTATAGACGTGAGCCACATCTCTTACATTTAAGTATATGATTCATTTTGAGTTCATTTTTCTCTGTAATGTGAGGTGAGAAGCTAAATTCATCTTTTCGCATGGAGATATAGAAATTGTCCTTGCACCATTTGCTGAATCTCTTAACAACTTATATTGCTGTACTATCTTTGTCACAACTAATAAATCCACATTGGTATATTGCTATTAACTATACCCCATGCTTTTTTTTTTTTTTTTTTTTCCAGTTGAACTAGTTTATCTCTAGAGATGCTGTCCCACCCAGGATAGCATATTACATTTAGTCCTTGTATCTCCTTAGCCTCTTCTGGTTTGTGACACTTTCTCAGACTTTTCTTGTTTTGGTGACCTTGACAGTTTTAAGGAGTACTGGTCAGGTACTTTGTAGAAAATTCCTCAATTTGGGTTTGTCTGATGTATTTTTTTATGCTTAGACTGATGTTATATGTTTGGAAGAAAGTCTGCAGAAGTCAAGTACCACATTCTCATCATATACTATCAAGGTTACACAAACATGATTTTAATTGAGCATATTCATTGCTTGGAATAGAATTCTATTCTTCTCTTAATAGTGCCTTTTAGCATTATATGTCAGATTAACCACTTCCAATTGAAAGTTTGGTGAAAGCTGCTCAATTGCACAGTTAAATGGATTTTGGAATATGGAAATAACCTTTGCACTTGCTTCAAGGTCCAAAAACTGCTACTGGAACTGTAGTCTGAACTCAGAAAATTTTTATGCTGCAAACTTGTGTGAAAATAGAGATCTTGCTTCTTGTTTTGACTTTTATTTCATTTTATTTTATTTAAGATGGGGTCTCACTCTGCCACCCAGGCTGGAGTGCAGCGGCACAATCTTGGCATACTGCAACCTCTGCCTCCCTGGCTCAAGTGATTCCCCTGCCTCAGCCTTTGGAGGTGCATGCCACCACACCCAGCTAATTTTTGTATTTTTAGTAGAAACAGGGTTTCGCCATATTGACCAGGCTGGTCTCCCAACTCCTGACCTCAGGTGATCCTCTCAAAGTGCTAGGATTACAAGTATGAGCCACTGCGCCTGGCCTATTTTTATTTTTTATTTTTTGAGATGGAGTCTTGCTGTGTTGCCCAGGCTGAGGTGCAGTGGCATGATCTCAGCTCACTGCAGCCTCCACCTCCCAGGTTCCATTGATTCTCCTGCCTCAGCCTCCCAAGTAGCTGGGATTACAGGCGCATGCCACCACACCAGGCTAATTTTTGTATTTTCAGTAGAGACAGGGTTTCATCATATTGGCCAGGCTGGTCTTGATCTCCTGACCTCAGGTGATCCGCCCACCTAGGCCTCCCAAAGTGCTGGGATTGTAGGCATGAGCCACCAAGCCTGGCCTATTTACTTTTTATTGAAACAGGGTCTTCCTCTGTTGCCCAGACTGGAGTGCAGTGGCATGACCACCTCCACAGCTCAAACGATCTTCTCACCTCAGCCTCTAGAGTAGCTGAGACTACAGGCATGCACCAATACACCTAGCTAATTTATGATTTTTTGTAGATACAAGGTCTCACTATGTTGCCCAGGCTGGTCTTGAAATCCTGGGTTCAAGTAATCCTCCCACCTAGGTCTCCCAAAGTGCTGGGATTACAGGTGTGAGCTACCATGTGCAGCTGAGATTTCATTTATTTATTCTGGTTACTTATCTAGGAGTAGAATTGCTGGGTCATATCAGGACTCTATGTTTAACTTTTTGAGAAACTTTCAGGCTCTTTACAAAAGTGGCTGTACCATTTTACCTTCCCATCAGCAGTGTTTGAGGGTTCAGATTTATCCCCCTTTTTTTTTTTTTTGACAGAGTCTCACTCTGTAGTCCAGGCTGGAGTGCAGTGGCATGATCTCAGCCCACTGCAACCTACGCTTGCCAGATTCTAGTGATTCTTGTGCCTCAGCCTCCTGAGTAGCTGAGATTACTGGCATGTACCACCACGCTGGCTAATTTTTGTATTTTCAGTAGAGATGGGTTTTTGTCATATTGGCCAGGCTGATCTGGAACTCCTGTCATCAAGTGATCTGCCCACTTTGGCCTCATACAATTCTGGGATTACAGGTGTGAGCCAATGCACCCAGCCAAATTTCTCCATATCTTTACCAATACTTAT